GAATACACTAACAATCACAGCCTGATTAGAACGACCTTTGGGTTTCCTCTAACTGCCTTCTCTCTGAAATTCATGGATTTTGTCTAATAGAGAATAAATCAGATGGCTATGATTATACTTGAAGGCTCAATTTGCATTGATTTATGTGTCTGAAATGACACTGGCACATTGTAGGCAGCACATGTATGACATATGCAGGATGCAAAATAACAAAGTCTTTTAGTTGGTCTGTGCACAATTCCATTCAATTATTACTTTAGTTTAGATAACGTATGGTCGTATGGACAGACACTTGATTGTAGAATGTTGGTTATTACTAATAAAAGCTTTGATTTCCTGTTACTTTGTTTCCTTTTCTTTATGTATAAAAACTTTTAAGGTCTGTGCTACAATGTTCAGTTCATCAGAAATTGCTAAAAGCTTGGGGTGCTAGAGTAATTTATATATTGTGGAATTGTCTTCAACAGAAGATGCTAGCTCCAATTAGCTTTAAACTAAACCATTCGTTTTTCCTTGTCAGTCTCATTGGATTGGAAAGTCATACTATAAGAGAGGTCCTGATGGGAATGATATTCACAAGACAAATGTGCCTCATATTCGGGTTGAATTTCGTGACACGGTATGTGCTCAATTGTCCTTTCTACTCACCTAACTAGTTCTGTCCCGATGTACAGTACTAATCCACTCCATTCCCTCAATGTACACACCCACACACACACATTTTATCTCCTTCATCTTCGCGTGATACTCAACCATGAAAGGCTTAAGAGGAAATGACTAGTGTAGTAATTGCTGTTGCAGATTTGGAAAGAAGAGATGCAACAGGTTTATCTGGGTAAAGCTCAAATACCTGAAGTTGTCGATGAATAAAGAGAAAGATGCATCTAATTTCTATTCATTATGATCTATATTCTATTCTTGGTAAGTTCTATCAATTTTTTTTTATCAAGATTTCACATTTTTTTCTGGCTGCGTTGCTCAACACTTAATGTTGGTCTTATCTTTCTTAGAGTCTTGCCCATGGTAATCTCTAGTGGAACTTCACAACCTAAAAAATTGATCAAGACCATCTGTTTTACTGGAGAATATATATATATACAGCCAGGCTCAGGTGCGGACTGTCCGCATACGAACTATTTATAAAAATATAAAAATAGAAAATCACGTGTTTTTTGGTAATCCATCTATCGTAAATATGGTTTTCTCTACGGATCTACTTAGGATCCTGCTTAAACCCGGTTACAGATTACGCCTCTCGATCTTTCTCTCCCAAATCTTAAATTCCTAACTCTTCGATTTTCTCTCTGCTGTTACATCTCTCATCTCTTCCACAAAAATAGTTCGCTATTGAATTTCGGAAACCATAAGATCAATTCTTTTATATATCACATTCACATGAATATTCATGATAATTGTTAGAACTTGCAACTCAAATGATTGATTGAATGATCTCTTCTATTAAGTGGAGTTGTTCACTAATAAAGACACAGACTAATGGAGTTCGTTGTTCACTAATAAAGACACAAACTAATGGAGTTCGTTGTTCACTAGTAAGGAAACAGAGTAACGGTGCTTCAATAAAATTCAAAAGCAATACAACAGAACCACCATAATAAAAATTGTAGAAGATTTCCCTAACCTTAACCTTGAAAGACAGAGAGAGAGGCATTTATGAAGATTCCATTCAGATGAGGGATAGGGTCACGCAAATCAGAAATGGTTAAAAACCACACTCCTCTCTCTCTCTCTCGATCTCTCTATAACTCATCTATTTGGTTCTCTGAGTCACCAATAGTTCTTTCTAAAGAAATCAATTTATTATCAAAACAAGTTTGGTAGAAGAAAAAAGCCAAGTTTGGTAGAAAATGAAAGCAAGAGAAGTAAAACCTTGAATGTTCAATTAATGAATTGAAAGTTTTCTTCCAATAACCCCTAATCACATATTATTCAGTTAATAATATAAAGCTTGTGAGAATTAAATCCTGAAGCATTTTTTTCTCTGAAGATGTGTTATGATTGTTTTGGTTTTAGTTGATAACCATAAGTTAGATCATCATTATAAGAACCTCAGATTATTTAATTCACTTATATTTTGGTTGATTCCAAGAATTGGGTAGAAAGATGGAATTTAGAAATGAAGAGAGACATGGAAACAAAGAGAGAGACCAATATACACAGGAGACGGAGCAAAAATAAATTCATCTTAATTGTGTTAAACTAAACCAAGAGAGAGGAAAGAGAATTATAGACAAGGGAACTTGACTTGAAATCAAGAGAGAAGAAAGACACTGGAACTCCGAACTCAGGAAGCTAAATAAACTGGGTCGGGAATGGGTATTACTAGACTCAAATAGAGGAACCATATTAGCGACAAAACTTAAAACAGCTCGTGACCTTGTTTACATTTATATCGAGTCCGCATACGGACGGACCATATGAGAGCCTCTCTGTAATATATAAAACACAATATTACAGGTTAAACTTTTTGTCAGAATAAACTTCAACCTACAGCTAGATGATGTCAAATGCAAGGAGAAAATCTATTGAGCTGCTAATATTTTCTGGAACTTTGCATTTGCCTCATGTCATGAATCATGTTGCAGTGAAATATGTGTTGAAACACATTTGTGCACCCCCAAAACTATAACTGACCAAATCAACCTGAACTTCTTTTTTTTTCTTTGTGTAAATTTCTTTAGGCATGAAGAAAGTGAAGACCCCTGATTTGTGTTCACCATCTAGCATCAAAGCAAAGCTGTTGAAACGCAGTTGAGGAAACTGAGCAGTGAGCATTGGCTGCCACAGGCTGAGATTAGCATGTAATTGACATGCGAGGAGATTTTGACCCAGGGATGCATATATCATCAATAAGATAAACATATTGGCAAAAGGAAATATCCAGGCAAAAATTTATGGTGCTCCTGTTTTACCCTCCAAAAAAGCAAGCAGTTACTTTCTTGACTAAGTAGTATTTAGAGTATATATGGATACTCATAGTTAGCATAGGAACTTGAACCTTTTTGCCATGGTCGTGGTCAGTGCAGTTAGGGATACTTTTATGTTGTAACATTTCCCATACAAAGTGGGGCAAAAACAAATTTATTTTTTATTTTTGCTGTTACTGTTGTAGAAATTATTTTGTGATTGGGAATTTGGCATGCAAGTCTTTATCTACTGATGTATCAAAAGGTCCTGTTTCTAATGATAAGATTTTCACAATGCAAGTGAGATTGGGCAAGCAAGAGAACCTGCTGCCTGCTTTTGATTTGAGGTGCTGTGGCAACTGGCAAGTGTGCATTTAGGCATATACATTATTTCATATTTTGGCATGGGATGTGTTATTCATGCGTGCAGCATGAAATTGTTTCCCAAGTTAGCTGAATGAATATAGGCTGGTAGATCTCTTCACTTAAAACAATCGGTTTGAAGATCATTTCAGCTTTCCAGCCATTGTAGACTTGCTTGACTCTGTTGTGACATACAATGTAATAACCTTAACTATCTTTGGCATACATTTAACTTATAGCAGGATTATTATCATAATTCTAAGCTTCTACAAAAATAGAAAAAAAACCACACCATAACGAAAGCTCCCTGAAATAGATGAACATGTTTAAATTTAGATTTCTAACCATAGTTAAAAATCTTGCCTAAAATGAGATTTTGACACTAAAATACAAAAGAGAAGTTGTATATCTGTGAAATTCGGGATAACTGATTCCCAAAATATCGGATATATTCGTCGAATATCCACGGACTGTGATGATATTTTGAACTAAGCTTCCAATACTTAATACTAAAATCTCACTAGTATTTTTTTTTTCAGGAGTTCAACTATTATTTTTATCAAATCAAACAGTCACTCAGAGTACAAAGAAACCCAAATAGAACAAATCCTACAAAGAAACCCAAATAGAACAAATCCAACATTTGGGAGAGCTTAACCAGCCCTAGATATTTCTGAATAAGTAACACTTTATACAGGAACTGACAGAGATTACACCGGCAGAAAATGTGATCATCACTCATCATTGGGCTTCACCAACACTTTCACCCAACAACTTCACTGCCTACGCGTAGACTGCAAGCAACAGATGATAAGCAGTAGTCAGTAGAGTAAGAACACAATCCATCAAACAGCATACAAATTAAAATAAATCCTTTTTTAACAAGTGCAACTTACGTCAATATTCTCAAAGATTTCTCTCGTTTTCTCATTCAATCCTTGCCTCGTCTTTGCAGCTGCAAGGAAAACACAACCACATTAATCAAATGAAACGTAAAGAATATGCTCTTACAGATCATATCAACAGCCATTAACAACTTACCCATTTGAGCAACATCTTCCAACTTCTTTGATGTTCTCACTGCAAATCTCTGGAAACTATGGCTGAAATGAACAAAGGATAGAAATGACTAATGAACGAATTTTAAATACATAAAGCATTAAGATAACATCTAATGCCATTTTAGAACAAACAAATTTCCGGATGATCGTATGGAATACACAAGTTCAAAGAACCTAACAATCCCCATACCATCCGAATGGAATACACACTTGGCTCAACCCACTCACTGTGATATATAACTACTTAGTTTATCCCATCACATCCCTTATAAAACATGCAAAATGAATATGATAACAATAAACCCATCCAAATTCTCCAATTGTAAAAGAAAAAATATCTCCATGATAAGATCTACAATTTTCAAGGTTAAAACATGCACCAGTTATTGACTAAACAAGCAGCCAATACTGTAACTCTGCAAGTAAACATTCTCATGAAGCAAATGATATCTATTAAATTCGCAAATCAAATAAAAACCGCCACAGCCCCTTAGATGTTCTTCTTCACAATCAAATTCGTATTCATTACAGGTCTATGAAGTCAACATCAGCATTATATTTTAAAAGCTAAAAGCAATACAATTATAAACTAAAGCCTTTTTTTTTAAA